TTCAACTGCACAACGGCTGAAAAACATCAAAACCAAAATTAAATTAATTAACATTTTTCTACAAATGTGGTTATGATGTACAGTGGTACAGTGATTGAAGCGAAATGTTTAAACACTTAGCTTTGGATGATATTTTGCAGAGTTGCATCCAGACAGGACTGCTATTGTCTCCAAACTCTTCCTGCAACATTACAGAAGGACAGATATTAATAATGACAGAATCACAGTGAACTGCATATAATGCATTTAATACAGATTGTCAAACAAATTCAAGGTAAAACTTGTATTATAACAGTATCTTACTACCTCTCTCTTTACCTTACTTTCTTCATGTTACTTTCATACTCACTCACTGCCTCCCTGGAGCTGCTACATTAATCTTCACTCTGTCCTGCCTGTCACTGGTGCTGCTGCCTTTACTGTCTAGTGTCCTCCCTAAAGCTGCCAATCTACTCTCATCTTCGTTCTTCTTGCTGTAGCTGCTGCTCTACTTTCCTGGTAGCTCAGTGGCACAAAACATCAACACAACCATGTATATCACCGCAACACGACCATACTCGCCAACCCGATGGCTAAGGCTGTTCTAGCCCCACTGGCACCATTAATGTGTGCTCAGTACCCCCGGTTCCGTATGGAATACCACCTCAACACGGCCATATGCGCCAACCCAGTGACTAAGGCTGTTCTAGCCCCACTGGCACCGTTAATGCGTGCTCAGTGCCCTCGGTTCCGTATGGTAGGCTATAACAGTGCACCACACAACAATACCTGCCAACCACAAAAACTCATGTCTGCAAGATGCAGTACACGGGATTGTGATAACTATAATACGCCTGTAAGACACCTGATTGAAGGCAGACCTCTGGATGGGAGACGTAAACGTGGTCCAGTAGCGTGTGCTTCTTGGTCGTTGCCGTCGTGATCAGTTGCGTGTACCCGTTGGACTGGAACAACTCCAGTATGGCCTTTCTTCCCGATGAAAGAAGGTCTTCGTTAAAGTCTCCGCAGACGATAACAGGATGATTCTTCTTCATCATGTCCATGTACACGAGCAGGCTCCTTAAATTTGGCAAAAACCTCTCCAGACTGTAGTGTGGTGGCCTGTACACGGGACAGTGGTAGCTCAGTGGTTAGGACGTTGGGCTACTGATCGGAAGGTCATGAGTTCGACTGCCAAGCTGCCACTGCTGGGCCCTTGAGCAAGGCCCTTAACCTTCAACTGCTCAGTTGTGTAAATAAGATAAATGTACGTCGCTCTGGATAAGGGCGTCTGCCAAATGCTATAAATGTAAATGTACACTGTTGCAGTCGTCGGGGTGTCAATTTTGATGACGACGAACTCCAGGTCTGTGACACCGTGTACGTACTGTC